TATCTTGGACTACGAACGTCGAACAGTTAGAGTAGGGGTAAAACTGTCGGGTGTGAAGTTGTCTTGTTTTATTTTTCCTCCTAACGTTTTGAGGAACGAGTTGAAGGAGGGAAAGAAGGATGGGAATAAGTCACATTTGAACTCAAGTGAGAGAGTTGTCATGTTTGAAAGGTAAGTCGGACACAAACAGTAAATCTGCCATTGCTTCTTCTTTCTTTTTTTTTCTTGCTATAAAACAAAACAAAAAAAAGGCAGACCGTGAACAAATGGGCTGCTTATAAACTCTTTCAGCAAAGTTTATGTAAAGAGCGTGCGGAGGGAAATTTCCACTAAGTTTTACTGGAGCTCGACGTCACTTTTCTCGGCGTGTGAATAAGCAGTTTGAGTAACGACTTCCATAGTTTTGCTTTGTGTCTAAAAACGCTGCGCTGATTGTGAGACTTATTGCTTTTTGCAGGACTGAGGGCTGAGGAAAAGAAGGGAGGAACTACTTCTGCTGGTGGTGGTTTATAATTTTTTTTCTCCCTTCGAAGAGGACGACTGCCTCATGTCCAAGGAGACTGTCCATCCATCAGAAGGGCCGGCGGGTCCAGGACAGGGCCCACGGCAAGAGACAAGTCCCCTGCTGTTAGCGTCACACGGTAAGAGAGCACAAGACAGGCCATTAATCAGTGGCTTTAGGTGTGTATTCGGCGAATATGGGTTAATGTCAAGTACAGGGGTTCCACAGAGGTTTTGTCAGAATGGATAACTTGTATATTGTTAAGCGGTGGTGGAATAAATAAAAAGAAAAACTCCCTAAATGTATCGTGGCAATTGTTCACATGGCAGCAGTTTGGCAATGAGGCTCTCTGCCCAGAGTGGCAGGCTTGGTGGGCGGCAGCAGGAGTTGTGAAGAAAAAAATGTAAAAACTTAATCTGAGTCCGCAGAAAAGGAAAGGCCATTTTACATAATTTACAATTTGTATGTAATTGTAATGGTCCCTCTAGTTCAGTGGGAGAGACGAAATGAGTTGAAGATACGTAAATGTTTAAATGAATAGTTTTTATCTATATTTTTCATTGGCACATTTCTAATTCTCCTTCTGTATCCTAGCTTGGGATTGATGGAAACAAACTTCATTTGGGTACTCTTTTCATCATTTGATGTAAGAATAATGCAGGTTTGTCCTCTCAAAGGCTAATAAACTTTAATTTTGTGCAGAACACTGGAAGACAAAATGTTGAAAATAAAACACACTTAAAAACAATAAGTCAAAGCCACACACAACCAGAGCCATAAAGAAAGTAGATTATGAATTCTCTGTAAACAAAATTTTCATCAGAATGGAAATGATTAAGCTCAGTTTAATTTATTGTGCGATAAATTGATTAATTGCTCACTGCAACAAGATTCATTTGCAGTTTGTAATGTGGAGGAGTGAAAATCCCCTGCTGTGACAGCAGCTGAGAGGGACAGATGCATCGCGACTGATGCGCCTGTGAGTGTTTTGTGACGGGCATAGGCTCCATGACAGCTCCCACTGACTATTGAGCAGAATAAAAACAATGGTTTGAGATTAAAGTCTCCACTATTGGACAAGATCTGCATTTTTTTTAAGAGGTAACGTGACCTAAATGCTTCTTATTGATAACAGTGAAATTTCCAGCTTGGCAACACCAATAGTTATTTTCATGCTCACTCAGAGGAGGGCAAGGGCACGGAAAACTTTCTTGTGTCCGTGATATGCAGTGATAAATGTTTCTTCAGGAATTTGTTTATGAGAAGTACTTGTACTGCTCAGACTAGAGCTTTTTTTTTTTGGCCATCTTTTATCCAGACAAGCACAAAGAGTACAACGGATAAACCTTGACTGGTAGACTCTTGAAGTTTCTTGCCCAGAGCGCTATTCGTTCAAGAACAGCCACCACACATTTGTAGCTGGCAAGCTAAAATGTGTGAAAGGCATACATAGCTCATGTATTCACCAAGTTCTCCCTCTGTTTCATCCAATAAAATTCAGCTATAAATACACTTACGTATTTGGTTTCGAAACTTGCTTTTAAAAATAAAATAAACAGAAAACATGAGTGAAAGTGGCTTTGGGTTGGTATTTTCTTATACTTTCAGGCAACTTTCAGTAAAAGTCATTATCTGCGCACTAGTCTGAAAGCCTTGATAATGTTTGTGCCTGTTTTTTTTTCCTTAATAAAGTTGGAGGAAACACCCTGCTGACTATTAACAGCAACCACACAGCCAATTATAGTTTTTAATTAACTTTCCAGTTGCCCCTAAGATTATCACATGTAAAATAAGCTTACCCCCACACCCGCTTTTCATTTTTCTTCAAACAAGCAACGGACCGTTAACCGATCATTATTATGGCACGGTTTCAAAAAGAGAAAAAAAAAAAAATAGGAAAGTAGGACAAAGTGAGCAATTGCACGGGACTGCTGGATTGTAAATGGATTCCACTTTTGTTTTTGGTGGATTTTCCCCTTCAGTGGACAGTGGGTCTGCTGGATATAGGCTGATTTTAAGTAAACTGTGATGCTTAAATACTCCAAATGATCTCAACATGCTTCCACTTCCTATATTACACCTCTGACCACTTATCCATCACAGCTCGCAAAATGGATTGTTATTGCAGTGAAGCAAAGCTATATTAGGTGTGCTCCATGGTCAAACCCTTGATTCAGTTTCACATCAAAGCAACAGTATGCAATAAACAAGCCATAATGTTAAACACAGGAAGCCAGTTTGAGAGACAGATTAAGAGTTTCTCGTATTTGTGCATGGCTATCAGGCCAGTTTATTTTTTTCTTCTTTTTTCTTGTTTTTTTGCCTGGATGCTTTTCCAATTTAGATGAATGCAGCCTTTATAGCAGTAAAAGAATCTTGGCAGGTAGAGCACACTCGGGAGCACTGGGAGAAAGAAAATGAGATCCAGAGCTCTGGCAGGGACTTTCACCTGAACCGTCCCACCATGTCGCACACGTTGCCAGGTGGTTGTTTTTGCTGGCGTGAAAAAGGAGGGCGGCCTTTTGCAACTACGGGTTACACAGCTGATATTCGGTCTGGCACAACCAACCCAAACGGGAATGTTAACGTTTGGTAGAAAAGTGTTTATAGGTAACCTTGTTTTTCGGCAATCAGGACTTCATACCCACTTTTGGGCATTAATGTGCTGTTGGTTTGCAGATTGTTTCGTAATGCTTTGAGCCGTTCACACCGTGTAACTTTATTGCATGAAAGAAATGAATCAGAAGCACAGGTTTGTTTTTGGATTTTCTCTAATCCTCACATAGATGCATACATCCCCACAAGTATTTGGTAAAAAGTCACTAATCATGCACTGTTTTGTGGTTTTTACTAGGGGTATGGCATAGTGCTGCCCCAGTTAGCCACTGTTCTTATCAGAGATAATAGATGCTTATTTAAATCAATTGGTATGTACACATAGAATCTACTCACAGAATTCACAAGTTTTCATCTATTCCAAGACCAGTGTTCATGTTTATCAGGATCATTACCTTTTATGGGTTTTTAGAAAACCCATTTGTTTCCAAGTGGGCTATTGATTTCAGGTGAGGGTTTGTCCTGCACGTGCATGGGCAGAAAACGACAAAAACAATATTGGATAGCATTGTCCTGTGTGTGCTACTTAACCTGCCTACCTTAACACAACTTCTGATAAGGAACATGTGTTACACTTTGTTCATTTGAGACAGAGAGATGAAGGTGGAAGCTAAGGGTTTAAAAGCGCATGCATGTTTTGACGACATGTTAAAATCACAGCGCTACGTAGGGCCCCAGCATAACAGCAGTGGATTGAAGATATCTTGGCGGTCTCGTCTAAACGTGAAACTTTTCACCAAGCAACATTCAAAAACACCATCGGTTTCCAGACAGTGGTCTTACGTAAACATAGTCCAAGCTATGCCAGAAAATTGTGGACTTGGATTAAAAATGGGCTCTGTACCAGGAAACAAACTCACCTCTTCTGCCATAAAGACAGATCAACTATTGAGCCAGATGGATTTTAAACCAAATATTTGTTGGGGTGTATGCATTATGCCACACTCTCTGTGTTTCACTAAATCCTTACGAGCCTCACAACGAAATAACTTCCAGGCCTATGAGGACTGTATGTAAATGTCCGACCGCCCATTTCATTTTGAACCATACTTAACATCCACTTCTTGTGACTTCCCTCCCCAGATGCTTGTGACTGTGAATCAACAGGAAGCGCGTCTTCTCCTAGGAAACAATCCGCTGAAGGACAAAGTCTCGTGACGGAGGAGAAGCCTAATTATTGCAAGCCTGTGAGGAGTAAGTCTTAATGACCCGGGAAAACTGTGGGCAAACAGCAGTACATCGTTGTGCTATTTTTTTCCTCTCTCTAAATAATAAACAATGAGGAATTTAATTGCAGAAAGTGAAAGTGATTAACATGTCGGATCAGCCTAACTTCTGCAAGTGATTTTTTATTTATTTTTTTATTCAACATTTGAAACTGCTTTAATTTTACTCAGATTTTTTTTCTAATGCCAATATTCTCACCTTATAGGAAAAGCTATTGTTATGCTGTTCCTGTGTTAGGGTCAGTTGGCCATCTGAAATATTAGCTTCACTGTTTCCAATTACAGTAATAGCCAGATAGCAGCTCGGCCTCTTGGCAAGTGAGTATAACATGCCTGCTGTCTTATTCTGACGTTATGACCAAGACTTGGCTCAGTCGGCCATTTTTGCTTCTTTCAAATCCTCAGCCATGTGTTTTGCAAGAAGGGAAATCCAGTTTGTGGTATTGGCCGTCCTCATGTACCGATTGAGTCCTACTTGTAGTTTCTTTAACCTGGTGCCAACGTTTGCCTCTTCACAGGATGTTATTGCAGACTGGGAAAGAGTGTATTTTAGTTGAAGTAGCATCCAGGTTTGCAACATGTGGGGGGTGGGGAAATAGACTTGTCTGGTCCATCAATCATCTACCTATCATCCATAAATGATAGGTCATCCGTCCATTCCTATGTCTGTCCATCAACATCTCTAACTGTACATTAGTCCATCCAACTACCTTCTGTCAATCTGTCTGGACGTCTTCTTGTCTTCTTATATATTCGTGTGTCTCTTATGTTGGTCTGTTGTATGCTCACCTTTTCTTCCGTCCGTCCATCAACAAACTGCTTGTCAATCATCCGTCAACCGTGCAGCCAACAGCTCGACAGTTTCGCCGCTTGTCCGGTGTAAATTCAGGGTGAACTTTTAATTACATGATTCAGAAATGGACAAAACTGGAACGCGTCAGACCTTTAATTGAGTAAAGGTTTGTGAACTTCTGGAGGCATCTTCCTAGTTAGAATCAACAAGTCTCCAATAATAAAAACCTTTCAACCGTTGCTACTGCGTACTTTGTGGCATTTCTTCTGGTTCAGGCTGGAAACTTTCTCGTGACTCTGATCTAATCATATTGTTTTATGCAAATGTAGAGCACAGCAAGGCTCTGCTAAACAGCAATTTGCCATTGATTTAGAAGCAATTCTAATTAAACCTAGTTGCACAGTAATTCCACTCCTTACAAAGATATAGATTGCAGGTCACAGAGTGAAACGCGACTAAAAGGCTTTGTGTATGCGTGCTTCATTGTTCCTGAGAGGAGTGAGATGTGACAACATGGGCTAATGGCAGCTGATTGCTGCTGTAATAAGGATCGTGTTTTCATTTAACACCATTCTTGACTACAGGTCTCTTTTGTTTCACAGTTGTTAACTTTTCCAGAGTGCCCTTTTCCTCCTTCTCCTTTCTTTTTTTTCCTGTTTATTAAACTTAGTGACTTAGCTGTAGCTTATTTACCAGAGGAGGGGAAAAAAATTAAAAAATAAAATAAAATGATTTGTTTTTAAGTCATCAAAGTGATGTAATGAAGTTCAAGTTTACTTTTAAGGCTTGGATATCACTTTTGACTTGGAATTGATTTTACCCCTTTAAGTTGATAATCCATTTTAGCCGAGTTAACTTAGCTTATTTATATCACAGAGTCCCATGGGCTCACTGTAGTTTAGCTGTGTTCGGGGGTGCTGCGCTTGCTGCTAGGGGTAATTGAGAGCCCTCTCCACTGCAGAAACAGGAAATCAATAAGAAATCATCTGCCTGCCTACATCTGAGCCTTTGCGCTTTTCTTTTCCCCCCGGCTGTCTGATTTAGAACTTGTGTACTGTATCTGGACAATAAGTTTTCTCTACAAGAGGAAGCCCATTATGCTGTTTTGATAACAACAGCGATCCCATTTCAGCTTCAATAACACTGTTTTGACAGGTCGGCCATTACATCAGCTGGGTCGGTCCTCTTGAAGCGAGTTCCTGAAATAGGCCAGCGGTTGCATAATTCCCAACAGGGCACCCGTAGGACACAGGGTGCAATCGCAGGAATTTGTAGTGAACAGTGATCGGACACAGATGTAAAATAAGCTAAGCTATTTGAAATGAGAAGGATATTACAAAGTCTGAAATTTGTCTGTCTGGAAAAAAGGAAAAGGGAATTTAATTTTTTTTTTCTATACTTTCGTACTTCTTCCATTGTCTTAAAGATCCTTACATTCGTCTAATCCCGCTGAATTCTTCCTCGCTTCCTCCTACCCATAATCCATCCATTCACACATTTGTTAATATGTGATTTTTAATAGTTTCCCTATTTATTGCCCGATTACTTTCCAAATACTTACTTTCCTTATGCTTTCTGCCATACATTCATATGGAATTTTTGTAACCAGAAGAACTACAAAGTATCTCTACTTTAAAATTGTCTAAAAGGTGCTGAGGACTCTCGGTGTTAGAAAAGTATAAACTTTTCCCATTAAAAAAAAAAAAAAAAATCTATGACCCCTGGATGGTTTTGTGTCTGAGAGCCCTGTGGTTTGTTAGACAGCAGTGTTCGCTGCCTTTCTCAGAGAATCGTCCGTCAGTAGATCTGCCATCCAGGGTGAGGTGGGAGAATTCCTGTGGGAAGAGAGACATTCTTCAACGAACCGTTCTGCTCTTACGGCTGATATCTCTGCAAACAGTGCCTCTCCAGCCACCGCCTCGGAATAAATCACTACCACCTCGCAGCGGGTTTTAGGAGTTTAATCATCATGTAATTCACCGGATTGCAAATAGTTTTTTTTTTTTTTATTCTTCTTTGGTTGATAAAGACGACCTTACTAGCCTGTGTGGTTTTTTTTTAAATTTTTTATCTTAGTGTAACTTTAGTAAGAAAGTAAGGTCAAATAGCACGACTCTACTTTCGAAATAAAGGCTTTAATTCTGGCCTTTGTGTGAATCTTACGTTTGCCACACGTTTGAGTTTATTACCTTTTAAGAAGAGTTGACCTTTTTGAAATGAACTTTGTGACCCTCCACACCCCTCGCATAATAGATGCAGAACGGATTTAATCGGACAGGACTGCACAATTTTACTCGACTTTGTAAGTGCAAACGCTGGACACGTGAGATGTTTATCCGGTGTTGATTCAAACACCGCAATCACCCCCTGCGTTACCTTATGCGCCTTTCAAAGAGCCTGGGGCACTTTGAGACTTTTAACCTCATGTCAGTTTGCTTTTCTTTGAGTCTTTATGCCAGTTATTAGAGCTCTGTGCTGATTGTTGTTTTGCAAGATTCATATCTTTATTGTAATCCCTGGAGCCCTGTCTTTGCAGAAAAACTGCCTCCAAAGCATAGGCCTATTATAAACTGCACCGTAATTTTCAAGTGATTACTTACCAGTGGGTCATGGAATCAAAAACTGTATAAATAGGGTGAAATGCTAGTGCAGGGGTTGATTAAAACGGTCATTGTAATTCTACCTCTATTGTAATTATTTTCTCATTGTCTTGCTGCAGATAGATTTCATATGGGAAATTTCAAGTGTGTTAATTAGCATATTTTACTCAAAGTGCCCAAGACTGTTCACCATTTTTTTTTCTTTAAGATATCCAAAGTAGTTGAGCCAATTGATTAGATATGCATACCTCAATTCCTAATTATTTAAGTGCACATTAAATAAGAGGGTACACATATAGATTTTAATCACTAGAGTCTTTTTCTGTTTTCCTTACTGTTGAAGACCATGTCTCTCATTTCGATTCAAATTGAATGATGGTCGTGGGTCTTAATATGCTGTAAACTTCTAGGAACACTCAAACTTTAGTGTATATAATTTAATAGATGAACACAAAGTGCAGTGTATTTGCAAATACAAGCCTGAAAGGTGTGGTCTGCATTTGCATTCACCCCTAATGAGTCCAGTTGCGATTAAATTAGAGAGTATCTAGAATGCGAGAATTTTTGCCAATATTTGCCATATATCTCAAGCATGTTCAAGGGTTGCTATCGATTTTGTTTAATTTAGGTTTGGACTTTGACTGGACTCTTCTAACATGATTTTGTTGATCTAATCCACGCTTTTGTATCTCCGGCTGCATGTTCAGGCTGTTTGTCCTGCTGGACAGTAAACTCCTGGCCCTGTCTCAAGTCTTGTGCAGGTTCACTTACATTACCATCCTTGTATTATGTTCCAGTCTTCAGTCAGAGGTTTCGTCAATTCCCGCTGTAATCCGGACTGCTGCAGGATATCCTTCCTGCCCAGATCTGCTCTTTGAAGAAGCTTAGTTTCATTTACTAAAACGTATTCTTCTCAGTGGGTGTGATGTGTTCAGTGTGTGATAACTGTAATCCACCACACATTCCAGTTCGCATTCAATTAAAAATTATAGTTTATATCTCACATGGCCAGCGAATGTTCTTGTTGTGCTCCGGCAAACTGGAAAATAGCATTCTGATTTTCTCTTAAGAGCAAAAACACACAGATGCTACACAGGTGGTACAAATTAGGTGCTTTTTTTTTGCATGTAATTGTTTGTATTAGTTTGTATTTGATTGTGGTTAAGTAATGCAGGACAAAAAAAATGCCTGTAAAACATTCAAAGTTTTTTTTATTTGTAAAAATGTTAAAGTTCAACTTCGCAGTGATGCATTTGAATGTTTTTTTTAGGTCTTGAAAGCCCAATGAATAGTTCACAGTATGTGATTGGAATGTGACAGGCAAAGGTGATGTCGCTGTATGTTTGGAGAACTTCAGCAAGTTCCCAGATTTCAGATTTTTATTTTATTTTTTTCATATAAATTAATAAAAAATTGCAGGCGTAAAGCACAGGTTGTCAACTGCCAAAACAATGATGGTGTCATTGCCTTTCACAACCCACTCGTACATGGGGGTTGGTGTCTAAAAAAAAAAAAAATCAACTAGTTGAAATGACAGCAGCACACGGGGTATTACTAGGCCCCTAACAGGATTTT